TTTAAATTTATCATGGAAGGTTCCTTTCAACTTTGTTAACCTATCAATTAACAAACTATATGAAACCACAAAACATATTCAGATAGAATAACGATTCACTAACTATATGAAACCACAAAACATATTCAGATTGAATCACGATTCACTAATTATATGAAACCACAAAGCATATTCAGATTGAATAACGATTCACTAACTATATGAAACCACAAAACATATTCAGATTGAATTACGATTCACTAACTAAATGAAACCACAAAACATATTCAGATTGAATCACGATTCACTAACTATATGAAACCACAAAACACTTTCAGATAGAATCACGATTCACTAACTATATGAAACCACAAAACATATTCAGATAGAATAACGATTCACTAACTATATGAAACCACAAAACATATTCAGATTGAATCACGATTCACTAACTATATGAAACCACAAAACATATTCAGATAGAATAACGATTCACTAACTATATGAAACCACAAAACATATTCAGATTGAATCACGATTCACTAACTATATGAAACCACAAAACATATTCAGATAGAATAACGATTCACTAACAATATGAAACCACAAAACATATTCAGATTGAATCACGATTCACTAACTATATGAAACCACAAAACATATTCAGATAGAATAATGATTCATTAACTATATGAAACCACAAAACATATTCAGATAGAATAACGATTCACTAACTATTTGAAACCACAAAATATATTCAGATAGAATAACGATTCACTAACTATATGAAACCACAAAACATATTCTGATAGAATAACGATTCACTAACTATTTGAAACCACAAAATATATTCAGATAGAATAACGATTCACTAACTATATGAAACCACAAAATATATTCAGATAGAATAACGATTCACTAACTATTTGAAACCACAAAATATATTCAGATAGAATAACGATTCACTAACTATATGAAACCACAAAACATATTCAGATAGAATAACGATTCACTAACAATATAAAACCACAAAACATATTCAGATAGAATAATGATTCACTAACTATATGAAACCACAAAACATATTCAGATAGAATAACGATTCACTAACTATATGAAACCACAAAACATATTCAGATAGAATAACGATTCACTAACTATATAAAACCCCAAAATATATTCAGATAGAATAACGATTCACTAACTATTTGAAACCACAAAATATATTCAGATAGAATAACGATTCACTAACTATTTGAAACCACAAAACATATTCAGATAGAATAACTATTCACTAACTATATAAAACCACAAAATATATTCAGATAGAATAACGATTCACTAACTATTTGAAACCACAAAATATATTCAGACTTTTCAATTTAAATGATGACAGTGAACTAATTATTATGTTATTATTAACTAATCAAACTCACTGACCATATCACCCTAAACTCAACGCTGCCTGTTTTGATGATCTGTTAAACACTAAAACCTGGTGTGTGGATAATGGAATGGTTATAAATGCTACAAAAACCAAAGCTATGTTAATTGTTTCCAATCTGCAAACAACAAATAACCAAATAGCATTGACCGTAAATAATATACCTGTAGAGAATGTAACCTATACTGTATTATTAGGCCTTGCTATTGACCACCATCTTGAATGGGATTTCCAAATTAAAAAACTTTCTAAAAAAAGTTCTAAAATTTACCTTCTCAGTCAAATTTAAAAAATGCATTCCATTAAGCTTACGTAAATTGTTTTATAATAGTTATATTTTACCATTTTTTAATTATTGTTCTACAGTTTGGGGGAATTCCAAAAAAGGTTATTTAAAAATTCAAAAACGCACTGCAAGGAGTATATTATATGAAAAACATGATTCACCTTCGGCACCATTATTCAAAATTTTAAATTTGTTGACACTGTATCAACGTATTAGATATAATCGTTGCATAATGACATTCAAAATATTTCAAACTGGACACTCTGAATATTTATACAATAAAATTTACGGAAAGATCAAAAGTAAACCAGTATGACACTGAGATCAGAAACACTCCGAACTTTAGACATAGCGAAATGTAATAAAACTGCTATGATGAGAACATTTCAATATACAGCTTCTTTACTTTGGAATTCATTACCACAAACTGTAAAACATAATCCTTCTTTATATACATTTAAACAAAAACTGAAGAAGTTTGTTCTTTCTGACAATACTGATTAATTGATTCCATAGCATTTATAACTAGTCCTTTTGTTTTTCTCACGACTTCATTTTACTTAAAAAACTTTAAAAAAAACTTATATTTTGTACGCCCACATCTCTCTATGTGGACGTATATTGTCGGCACCCCTGTCCGTCCGCCCGTCCGTCAACATTTGCTTGTAAACGCTCTAAAAACTAGATTTTTTGATGGAATCAAATGAAATTCGGTGTGTGTATATATATTCATAAAACGAAGATCAAGTCCGAATTTGAGCTATTTTCTACTGTTAGAAGCAGAGTTATTGCCCTTGCCCAAAAATCTTGAATATTTACCATCCGCATGCCATGGTGAGCGTATATGGCTGTGGTCCACTATATTTATATTTTTCACCACATCCATGTTGAATTGTAAATGTATATATGTTTTATGAAACTTTCTGTGTTTTTATTATATACTTAGTACATTTTTTCAAGCTATAATCTGAACTTGGACCAGACAAAATGTTTGTAAATGTGGATAATATTAGATGCCGGAAGGTGAGGGTGGCCCCTAATCTCTACAGTGATCCTAATTTACTCAAATAATTAGAATCATACTTTACCAAGGTAAGTTTCGACTAATTTTTAATTATTTCTCGTAAAGTCTCACTTTCTAGATTATATGAATCTTTAAAGAATAACAAAGAATAATTAAATCACGATTCCGTTTACACGGTATCACGCAATTTGGTTGGATAACAAAATTTCAATAATTGAACTTTAAATGTGGCCGCTCCGTCAACGTCTCTATTGTTAGTATCAGTTCATTAACGTTATGTTAAAATTTTAGGTATTTATGCGCCAATTTTGTGCCTTAGTTTGTTGCTATTTTAGAGAAATATTTAAACAGTATTGATATATATAAGAAATGACCTGAAAATTTGTTCAGTTTATCGATGTATAAACCTGAAAAGGAGGAATCAGAAATGACAGTAAAATCAATATCACCATGTGAAATTCTTCTACTTTGAGGGTCTACATTGTTAATCCACCAAGATATTTCAGATTTCAAATCATCTGTGATACAAATTACTGAGTCAAAATTATATTTTCAGTACTGCAAGTCCTTAATCTTAGCCCTCTCTAATGTTGAAAGGCCCGTAATCAGATGCAGAAAAACAGACCCAATAACTCTGGCTAATTCTCTAATTTTTACTTTAGAAAGTTTGATAATATCACTAAAAGCTGAAACCATACGCTCCCTTCTATGGGATGTGAGGGTGACTGTCATTAAAACAGAGTAAATAATATCAAGAAATATAACTTGTCGAGATTTTTCATAATTCGCAATAAATCGTAAGCTTTCAACTAAAGATATAGTTGAATTTATATTTTCTGAACACTCAGTCTCAGAAATGCGAATTAAATGAGAATCATCAATGAATGCTGAATTTATATGACCCAATCTCCTGAGAGTGGAATACACAGGTTTCAATAACTTTGTAAATATTCTAGGTGCACTAGATAAACCCTGTGGTAGAGCATTATACTGATAAACTTTATCATTCCACGTAAACCTCAAATATTTTTTATGGTATGTAGTCATACTAATGGAATAATAAGCATTGGAAAAATCAACCCTTACAAAAAACGATTTGGAAAAACAAGAGTGAGTGCCGTTTCAAATGAATCCATCTTAAAGTGATGGTATGTAATAAATTGATTCAAATTTTTCAAATTCAAAATCATTCGATATTTACCATTTGGTTTTTGTCTCACAAAAATAGATGAGTAAAACCCCTCTATATCAAAAGGCACTTCTTTTATAACATTCATTTCCAATAAACTTTGACCTTAAGAAATTTTATTGCTGATCCTAGAACAGTCTGAGATGTCCTTAACAGTTTTTGACACTTCATCACCAAATAGATGATCAGTGTACTTTAGAGTTTGGCTGCAAAGATGAGAATATTCACCCTTCATGTTTGGTTTCATGTTTTCTCGTCTTAAAAAACATAATTGTTTATTTGCATGGCCAAGTAAAGCTAAAGCTTCCAAAGCTTTCTCCAAATTATCATCTGAACCTTCGTTGGAAGCACGTCCAAAGACATCAGTTAACTTGGTCACGATAATAGCACCTTTAACAAGTGACGTTTGTGCATTCTGTATTTTCTTGTCAGCTATTTTTGTCGAAACTGTCAAAAATCCCCAAACAAATTGATTGGTTTTTATATTCACCAGAGTACAATTTTCTCTTCGAGCTATGGTCTTGATCAATTCAAACCAATGGTCTTCTTCGATTTCCTCACGGAACCATCTATCAACCAATGAAGCTAATTCATCAATAACTGGAACATCACATTTATCCTTCACACGTAACTTTTTGCCAGCTTGCATTATTAAAGCCAGTGTTACCATCATCACAGTAATACATGATTTGCCTGAATTGCCTTCAAAACACTTAAAATGTCCACAAAATCTGAAGGTACATTTTTAATGGAAAGTGGTTTCGATCCCGATTGCCTCGAACAGGCGGTATTGTTATTTACATCGGCAACACTAGTTTTGCCTTTTGATATACTCAGACCTGGTAAATGCAAATCAGTACCTTTCGAAGCCGAACCCACATGGAGATGAATGAACCTCATGTTTCTTCTTCCCTTTTTGATTATTCGCTCCAACAGAAGGATTATTATTAGTTTTTATCGTACCAATATCCAACAACTGAGCACTCGCCATCGTAACAAATGTAAACAATATGGCGCCTAAATACTCTCGTAACAAAAACGTCAAGAGACAAAGCGATTCTATCTATACGAATGTTTTGCTAACACAGATATAAACTCATCGACCACGTCAACAAGTAAATCTGATTAAACTTAAACCGGTGACAAAACCACTTCCTTTCACAACGGCTTAGAGCAGTTCAATGATTTGTCACGGCTGTGCAGTACTATTCACATAATCTCGAAAGTGAGACTTTACGAGAAATATTTCGTAGTTTTACATATTGGTTACAATTTAAGGCATTTTTACGCACTTAAATCTGATTCGATTACCCTAATCAGAATGACGTCAAAAATCGAATCTGATTTATACTGCAGGATAAATGAACATTATACTATTTATAGTTTCCAAGATGGCGGCAAGGCAGGAAGAAATTACCTTGTACGTAATGGTTTTGACATGTTGGACGCCATTACTAAAGCGGAAGTTAATAGAGCTACGACGCTCCAAAGTTGATTTACTAGATTAACGTATATCGATTTGATTCGCTGCTACAATAAATGCGCTGATTACCATAATCAAATTTGATTTGATACAGGATAAATGGTTTTTAGACAAAATCGAATCAGATTAACCCAGGATAAATTCGACTTTAATATTTCTTTCCTCATTCATGTTACGTTGTAAATGTATATATGATTTATGTTATTTTCTGTGATTTTATTCTTTTTGTAATCTTGTATATAATTTGTAGTTTAGTGGGGCCTATTGAAAATTAGACTTCTGTCTAAATGGGTTGGCAAGATAAAGTTATTATTATTATTGCAGTGCGTTCTGCCGATTTTTGAATTTTGATTTTGCTTTTTAGTTATTTCCGGTTGATTTTTTTCAATATTGTCCAAAAATTGTAATGTTCATATCTCGCGACCTTGACCTTTTGTGACCCAGCACAAAAGCTGTTGCCTTAGACGAGATCTATCCAAAGACGTCTTCATTTTTGTTGTACAACGTAAACTTCCGGTTTTACAGCCATTTGAAAATCGTGATTTTTAAGTTTGAACAGCTCTGTCACGTGACCTAATTAACACACGACTAAATTCCTTATATATTCTTAAAGTGCATGAGCTCTCCTATCTCCTATCCTACGTGATATTTTAATAAAAATTGCGCTTTTTAAAAATCGAAAATTTTGTACTGACTTTTATAGTTATTGTGCGTATATTCACGGTGTCTATAATCCACCGACAGTCACCGTTGCCTAAAAAAACTTTTAACTACGAATATCTCATGATCTAATAATTGTAAACACAATTTTGAACATTATTTAACATTGTACACATTATTACAGACAAAACAACATTTTTGAAGTGGGCATGGCAAATCCGGGTTACTTTTACCAATCTTAAATATTTGAAATTGTTATAACTCGCAAACTTTGCATTTGTCAACATTGACATTTTGTATAAAAATAAACCACTACTTATGACAATCAATGATAAAAGTGCATTTGTTTGGGCCTTTTACTTTAAAAAAGGGAATAGGTTTTACAATTTATACAATTTTGATATTTTGACCATTGACCTCGATCTTTGCAATGTCAAAGGTCATTGATCTATGATGCCTATTCAAACTTTGATCTTTGACGTCCGACATATATTTCCGCTTTTACAGACGTCCCAAAACAGCAATTTTCAACACTTTTAAGGCTTATATCTCTTTTATTTGACCTTTGTTGACCTCTTGATCGTAACAGAAGTTATTGTGCTTGATGAAAATATCTTCATTTTTGTTGTGCGATTTGTACTTTTAACTTTACAGCTATTTGAAAATTCGACTTTCAACTACAGAATGTTAACACAGTTTAGTACCGAATGGTGTCAAATTCATGCGTCTCTTCACTACCAAACGCTAAACGGTTTAGACGATATTTTTAATATTGAATGTTTACAGGCTTTTCTTTTCGTTAAGAAATCCCATTGTGACGTTAAAAAGGAACGTTTCACCGATGTATCAGGTTGGATGCGCACTGCTTTGGTATCATGGTACGGCTCTAGTTGTTATTATTATATTTACAATAAGGGTAAGTAGTCATGATCCGCATCTAGGAAAGTACCCACAACTAAGGTAAGCAGGCAAAAATCAACAATCAGGGGATGTATACACAGATAGGATAAACAAGAAAGATCAAGAACTAGGGTATTAGCTTGCTTTCATACGGTAGGAAAACAAGTTATTTTCATTATGAACCCCAACTACCGGCAAGAAGCCAGACATAGAAACACTAATCGTCAATCAAACCAACATCACGTACCCTACAACGGCCCTGTCTTCCTTCGATCTCTACCACCTACCAATCGCTGACCACCAACCAACCCATCCAGGTATATCCCACCCCATCGCCGACCTACCTATAACACAGTCTACCAAGGTAACCCTCGACCTGACCAACAACAGAAACGACTACCAGCCCACTAGTCCCCACTCATAAGGAGGAAGAACCCTTTGTGAAGGTGTTCTTCCAAGTTTAGCAGTGCCTCCATCATTTGGTAATCCTTAACCTTCAACAGCAAGGCCAACCAGCGTTTACCTTCAAGCGCAAAATCTCTGAGTTGGATAGTTTTATCCGTCCAGCAATGAAAACATCAGCTGTCGACGCGAATATTAGATCCCTCAATCGGACATGGCTCTCTAAGGTTACGTAGGTCCTGATCGACCATTACCAAACCACACATTCGTAACAAGTCTTTATCATCACATGTCGTCGACCGCATCGTTTCTTATTCCCTGTCATGGGCCCGCCGTTCCTATGGGAAACGTCTCACTCAAGCTGTTATCAACAAATTCTACCAAACAATCCACGAAACAAATACCAGAGTGACCATTTTCTCTACCAACTGAAATGGATACTACACCTGCACCATCTAAAGCCACCACGCTACCAAACCAAACCCCTAAACGAGCCCGAGGTCCACCTACACATAGTCCAGCAGACATAGGTAAACGCTCTAGTAGAGAGGGCACCCCCCCCCCCCCCCCCTTTCTCTTGTCACTTTCAGACTCGTCTTCCCCTTCCACACCATATGAATCTTCAGCACGTGATCCAGGATCCGCCAGCCTTTCTTCCTTCTGTGCGTTTTTGGACCAACAAACAACAGTCTCCATCCAAGTCGAGACGTGTATCCAAACCTTTCCCCCTTCGAAGCAGATCCCAGTCCGTTCCCAATGCTACAATTCTAACAATTACCAAACCAGTACCAATCACACCGTCGACAACCATTATATCCGCTACCAAACCCTAATATCACCAAACCAAGGACAAATCATTATTGAAGCTACCTGCTCTAAAGAAATCTACCTTAATTATTGGATCATCTAACCTATCAAAACCAGTTCAGACACTGAAATACATTCTTACCCCGGTGCCCAAATCCATCACATACAGTCAATCCTTGAATCATACGACCATGATCCCAAACCTACTACCATTATTCTTCATGTAGGCCTCAACATCCGTGATCAGCTACCAAAGACCTCCTTTACCCAAGCCCAGAAATTAATCGCTACAGTCAACAAAACCTTCCCAAACTCCAAGATCCTCTTCACATGTATACCCACTTCAAATAAAATCTCGAAGAAAGCCCAACAGAACACCAGCACCCTCAACAACATGATGATGGAGTCCAGTATCAACAGCGCAACAATCTTACCACCCTACGAAGAAGAATTCGAACCAGTTGATAATCTTCATTGGTCTCCAGAAACAGCAAACAGCATTTATTTGTTTTGGATACACCAGGTTCAAGGATTGAGTAAGTCTTTAAACTAATTACTGGGATAAAAATACTGAGAAGCCGCCGCTAGGCCAAACTGTAGTTAACTTGAGACCGTGGTTTATTCCCACACCAGAGATTGCTAACTTAAATTATCTCCGAACATCCATTGAACGATTTCAACGAAATCTTAGCTGCACATATTTTTTTTACGTTTCAGAAGCAGAGAATCAGCTGAATAATCCTAAACATTATGCCATTTTACCGAAACCAATTTTCAAAGAAACTGCCAACATGATTAACAATATTCTTGCAGATTTAGTCAAAACTAGTTATCTCAAACAGAAACAATATGACTATCTGTCTGCCAAACCTGATTGTCGCGAGAGACATTTGTACACTTTGCCTAAAATCCATAAGAATCCAACCAAGGAGTGGTTTATCTCGAATAAAATCCCTAAAGGCCGCCCGATTATATCTGACTGTGGTAGTGAGTCATATGCAGTGCCAGAATACATTGATCATTTCTTACTACCTCTAGCATGTCAACATCGCGCCTACCTTAAAGACACAACCGATTTTGTCAATAAAATAAAAAATCTTCGAGTTCCCTCTAATGCTATTTTAATTTCTATCGACGTTTCTTCTATATACCAATATCGATAACACTACTGGTTTAACGGCAGTTCGTAAAGCTTTTAAAAGAAACCCAGATCCAAACAGACCCGACAATGCAATTCTACAGCTTTTAGAGATTTGTCTTAGTCGAAACGATTTCACATTTAATGGTAAAACATATTTACAAACTTCAGGGACAGCAATGGGCAAACGATTCACCCCTTCGTACGCAAACCTTTTAATGGCAGAGTGGGAACGTGAGGTGTTGCCCCTCTGTCCATTTGACCCACTTTTTTACGGACGCTTTTTGGATGACATTTTTATAGTTTGGACTGTTCTATCGAACAGTTTTGGGAATTCTTTGTAATTCTAAACTATCACCATCCTTCTATCAAACTAACCGCAAACGTGAGTAACAAAAGCATAGACTTTCTCGATACCACAGTCTTTAAGGGTGATTCCATAGCAGAAACAAATAAACTGGATATTAAAGTGTATTTCAAAGAAACTGATACTCATCAACTCTTGCACAAGAGCTCCTTTCACCCAAAACATACCTTTTCTGGTATAATTAAGTCACAAGTTTTACGATTACATCGAATTTGTACAAGACCTTCTGATTTC